GGTCCATAGCGGCTGCCCTCGTACGCCCAGAAACCCTCATGTCTCCGCCCCCCACGTCCAGTTCACGGATGGTCCTCGTGGTGAGCGGCGGCATGTTGGTCGATGGCGCGGCACCGGGCGGTGCGGCGGCGGGGAACGGTGTCGCTGACGGTGCAGCGGCGGTGGTGAACGGTGGCGCGGCGATGAACGGCGTGGCAGGCGGCGCGGTGGTGGTGAACGATGGCGCTGCGGCGAACGGCGTTGCACGCGGCGCGGTGGTGGTGAACGGTGGCGCTGCGGCGAACGGCGTTGCAGGCGGCGCGGTGACCGGTGGTGATGGCGTGGGTGCGGTAGAAGGCGCCACCGGCGATGGTGGTGTGGAAGGTGAACGGTGAGGAGGGTAAGAGAGGCGGTGAAATGTAGACTACTCAACTAGAAACGTCGGTGCGGCGGCGACATCCGAATCCCCCCCCTCGCCCGCCGGCGCCGGCAGCTCCAGCCGCGGGGTCAGCAACGGCGCGTGGTCGGAGGACCACGCAACGTTGTTCGTCATGCACACGCGCCCCGTCGCAACCTTGAGGACCTTGACCGCCGACTCGTGGTGGTTGTCCCCGTTGTTGAGGTAGCAGCACAGCGCTGCCTGGGGATCCATCTTCCGCGCGCGCGTCACACGCATGTACCCCGGCTGCAAGAACGGGACGATCGGGCGCGATGGCGAGCGCCTTTGGCTAGCGTCGTGTCATTGGGCTGCCGGCGGCTTCGTTCCCCGACCAAGGCGAACGTCGGGTACAAGTCGCTTGCGTGTTCTTCACCCGGGAAGAACCGCTTGTGGTGAAGTGTGACGTTTGGACAAACAAACAGATCGGCTGATCGGCCGGGACGTTGTGGTCTCTCGGTTGTGTTTCTCTCTGTTGGTTCATTTCACGGGCCAATCAATGGCTTCTCGTCAGGTTCGGCAACAGTGTATGTAGCAGGCTTGGCAGTCGATCGCGCAGAGCACACAGAAGGGGAGCAGCAGCGGATAGATCTATCCTGCCATCACATGATACAGAACGCGGCAAAACACGTGCCGTTCCGGAAAATGGTGCGGCGCGTCGACCCGCCAACGTTCCATTGTGCCGATATAGCCAGAGGAGGAGTCGAATTCGATGGGGCTTTGGTGCGCGCTTCATATCCTCTGCTGCATTGGGTTCCTGCTGAACGAATGCGTAGGTCTGGTCCTGTTTCCCTGCAGAGCCGCGCTACGCTTGGATATGTCGACGGCGGCATCGTCATCCGTCAGGGATACTAACAACGTGCAAGTTCAAGTTGTAAGCGATTTCGCGTGCCCCTGGTGAGTTCTGCTGCGTTGATAGCAGTGTCATACATAGGCACGCCTGCTCCTGCTGTGCACTCTCACCTCTCTCCATCCCATCCAAACAACGTTAGAGACGATGTGTCGCCGCTCGAGCAACAACATCGAGGATAGAGGCAGGGGAAAGGCGGGTAGCGGGGTGCCCTTGAATGCAGTTTGCTATCCGGAAACAGCGATTCACGCACACCCGATCATCCAACGACGAAGTAGGCATCCGATAGAGCCCACCAGCAGAATCTGCTGGAAATCGATGACAGAGAATCACTCATCGTAGTGAAAGGTCTATTGGCCAAAGACAGAGATCTGTCTGCGTTCAGAAGGCGAAGCGCGTCG